TCGTCGTTGAAGCAACCCATGATTCTTCGAGGGTTTAACCTCGTTCGTGCCACCTGCCTCGCAAGATGGTCTAACATATGATGCTTTGGTCGTAACTTGAAAAGCATCCACTGGTTCAGCTCACACCTGTGACTCAGATGTTGCCACGCAATCAAATGAAGGCGCCAGCAACCACTAAGTTCCTGGAGGGCAGATTGCATACCGATGACAGCCACCTCTTCATGTACATGTTGCTGCGTCAAAACTGTTCAGGAGGAAACACGGTTTTGACCCAAGAAACTGTTGCATCTTGTTCTCCCATCAAGAGGTCTGAGTGGTCCATGATGCAAACTGCAGCAAAGAAGTTCCACACACAGACTGCGATCAAGCGGAGGAAACTCTCCTAAGAAAAGAATGGTGGAGAGAACCGGAGAGGAGCAAAACTGTAGACAGGAAGCGGCTGGCAAAACAAAAAGTACTGACGCAATAAATCCTTTGAAGCATCATTTGGGTTCTTCTCCGCTATCTCAACAGCAAGGGAGGCAACATACCAGGAAGAACTCTTTATGAAGGCTGCCTTGAACACCGTGCCCAACTCTGGGAACTGTGACTCCTTATCGAGCCCTGTGTTGGAAGGTGTAAATGCTTTGAAGGAAACTCGGACGCTTAGACAGACCCATACCTTCCCTCCCCAACCACAAAAACTCTTCAACGAAAAAGGTACACAAACTTTTTGGAACCACAAAGCTTTGGGAACTTATAGGGCAAGAAACTTCTGTTGGCAGCATTTGCATTTCAAGTCCGAGGATACCCTTTTGAGTTTCTCTGCCAAAGAACCGGGCCCCTCGTACAAGAACCCACCTCGTATCCAGTAAGCCAGCGCGCTTGCAAACAAATCCCTGGATGTGCCAAGGCAAAAGGACATGCATAGGGTCATGAAAGCAACTGCCCAAGTGCCACCCTTCCACCCGTGTCCACGGGCTGATGATCCGCTCTTGCCGGTATTGGGCATCACCTGAGCCAAATGTGGAAAGTTTTTGATTGTTGAGGGATGTTGGGAACTCCAAGGGGTGTTGAGTGTGCTTGGAAACAACTGAGGGCTTCTCTGATACAAGTCATCGTGTGGGCTGCGTCCGAGTAAAAGTTCTTATAGCTCAGACGTGGTTCGCAGGTTGGTCGGGTCTTTTGAGCAAGGCAACATTCGCAGACCAGGTTGTGTAAATACGACCTCTGAAAATTGTCGCTCTCCTTTCTGGCTTTGGAGTCATACCGATACCCAAAATACGCCGCCCGCCACCCCCCTGCTAACACCTGTCCAGCCAAACCCGCACGGAATCCTGACATGGCTTCTCCGAAAGGTCCACGTGTGGGCCATGTTCCTGTGGAGACGCAGCGGAGGGACCATGCAACGATGTCGGCCACCTTCTCATGAACATTCTCCTTAACATCTTGTAGGAGGAGGTGTGGTATGCAAACAAGAGGGAACTTCACATCCCATATTTGGCCCTGACTGAAGATTGATGCCATCGACCAAACCAAGTACTCGCTATTGCTGTAGAATTCGGCACCGTCAACATGCAGCACAAGTGGTATCAAACCTGAAGCTGTTGCATTCACAGAATCCTTTATATACATGTTTCAACCCTATTTCATCCTATTTCATTACCCTCAAAAAAGACCAAAAACATCCAAAAGTAAAGACAGCGCTGGAACGGTCTTTGGGGATCGCAGGCCGACGCAAACAAGGATGGTCCCGCCACTCGTCCAACTTGATGCAATGGTTCCAGAAGGCTTCTATGGATGAAGGGCTCTGAAACCCAATCATAGATCTCTGGAACTGCAGGGGTCCATCATAACAATCTTTCACAACAAGTGTTTATCAAACAGAAACAGCTTTGGAGTTTGAGGTTGGAGATGAGGAAGAACATATTGAACATAAGTTTTGAACCGTTTTCAGACTCGTGCACACCTGGACTTCCCCGGCTCGCCACAAAGCATCAATAACTTCGTGCGGCAGCAGGACTGGAACTTGTATTTCGGTCAGATCATCCTTGTCGGGAACCTAGGATTGGAAGGGTGCTCTTTTAGTCTTTGGAACGGGACATGGTGCACACCTGCTTGCCAAACTAAGAAGCCTTCAAAAGAAATGGCACTTTGTATGCTTCTAATTTGCAGCCATGTAGTTGGTGAAGCCACCGGTGCAAATCTCGCTCTTGGTTGCTTTGGTGTTTTCCATTTCCTCCTAAAGACATTAAACCTGCCAAAGCTTCAGCAGTAGATCCATCAGCGACGTTTGCCCTGCTTATGTCGCATATCTCAGCCACAGAAGCACGCCCTGACCCAATCATACCTCAGAATTGGAACCCACTCTGCACTAAGTGGACCAAATGTGAATCCAAAAGAAACAAAAGGTTTGTTCACACATCCTTCACGAATTGTAGTAAAAAAGCTGTTTGGAGCGTGGCACGAAGATAAATGTTTGCACTCTCGCAGTGCGGCATGGATTCATAGCGTTTGCTCCTGCAAAAGGAAAGGACGATACCCACATGTCCCAACCGCATCAGACTGTTTGCCCAGGCCTCGGCCTTTTGGCAGAGCTTTCTGCACCGCCTGCGCGGAGACCAAGCAGACAGAAGACGAGGGACAGCTCTTGAAAAGAGGTACCCAAAAGCAGGCTCCATTTTCAAGTCGTGGCAGTGCTCCAGGCGCAAACCCCATCACGCAATCAAGTAAGTTCACCAATACAATAATACATGTGTGTTTAAAGTTCATGTATATATGTGTGTAGATATACAGACGATTATAGAAGTCTTTACTTACACGTACAAAACCCTGATTGCGTATCCCATCGCAGCAAGCTATCACTGCCTGGAGACTCTGACACACTTCTGCTGGGCGATGAAAGGAGGTGAACAATTTTGATTAGGGAAAACTCTCAAACACGGTGATTGATGGTTCATTGGACGCCCTTGAACGACTGGCAGAAGCTGTGATGCTCTAGGATTTTGCACCCGAGCCATTCTTGCTCGAATCAGGCGTCTTCTTGTCCTTCTTCTTCTTTTTGGGCTGCTGCGGCTTCAAGAGCCCTTTGGCAGCGACCTGAACAGAGGACTGCAATGGTGCGGTTTGTTGATGTTTGTTGGACAGTTGGCTTGGGCGTTCAAAAGACTGGAAGTGGAAAGATTACAAGACCTCGAATTAAGTAGACTGGGTTTATAGAATGACCTTGTTGCAACATTTTTCAGTTAAGATTTCCCAGATTCCCAGCCTCAGCTTTCTCATACCAAGCGATCTTGTCGACAATAAGCTGGAAGTGTTTCGCGTACTTCTCTTCCTCGCTCACCTTTCTCGCAGTCAGGTCTTGTAGGAGCTTGTAGACAGCTTCCATTTTGGAACTGAAAGTTCATGAGTTGGGTCGATAGGTCCCCACCATAGCCGGTGCCACCCAGAGAGATGGCGTGCTTGCGAGCATCTGCTGCCTTTTTCAGGCATGAGTCCATGTGGTCTTGAGCTTGTTCAATCACTGTCTTCGGTTCCATCTTCTCAACCTCCTTGTCCCTCTTTGGTTTGGGCTTTGGTGCGGCAGAGACACTGGAGCCAGTCAGAGCTTCAGTCATGGCTTTCTGGCCAGCCTCACTCCCTGTCTGCACAGCCGCGCATGAGCCAGCAGCCAGCAACCCCCTTCTCCTGTCAAAGCCTCGACCACTTCCTTGCTGTCTTCCCTCCCCTTGACCTTAGTGATGTCTCTGAAGATGGACTCATCGCTCATCACATTGTCTTCGGAGGCATAGTAGAAGATCTCCTCTTCGTCGCCCTCAAAGTCAGGGTCATAGTGCCACATCCCTTTCTCCTTCAACTTCTTCATGAGCAGGTCGGCCTTCTCTTTTGGGTATTTCTTGTAGAGATCCCTGGCCTTTGTCCCACTTCTAGATTTTTTTGAAGAAGACTTGCGCTCTGCGCGCCTCTCGAACTCCACCTCAACCCTCTCCCACTTCTCACCACATGACAGCCAGGCTCGGAAGACATCCAATTTGTCTTTCACAAAATGCGCTGCGAGAGACACTGGGAATTTTTTTGCGGTCCAAGCATTGGCGAGAGAATCGGTCATACTCAACCTTGTGGGAAACACTGTTGGCTTTTGAGAAATCTTCTTCTCCCTTCACCACAGCGTCTTTGAGCTTCTCGGCATTGGGCTTCTCTTCTTCTTTCTTCTTCTTGTCCTTGACTCCCTTTTGGGTCTCATCTTCGTCAGCATCATCGAGGAGCTTGGTGAAGTCCTTTTCAACGGCAGCTTCCTCCTGCGCTTCTTCTTCTTCTTCAGAATCATCTTCGCCCTCATCACCATCCTCCCCCTCCTCCTCCTCCGATGACACTTCTTCTTCTTCTTCACTGTCCACGCTCCCATCAGGCCCATCAGATTCAGAAGCGTCTTCTGAAAGACTTGACATCTCATCTTCTCCATCACCTTCATCTTCCTCTTCATCACCCTCCCCTGGCTTCTTAACATCCTCGCCCTTTTTGCCCTTTGGGCGTTCCACTTCCTCCTCTTCATCATCCGTAGGAGGCGCAGGGTGTTCAGTGGCAAGCTGCTGCATGCGAGCATCTACTTGAGCCTCCAGACACTTTGCGCTCATCTCCTCCATGAATTCCTCAACCGACATACCCCTGTCCGCAGCCAGTTGCTTGAAGTTCTCCAAGCTCTGCGCTGATGAAGGGGTTGGCGACGGATCTGGTGTTGAACGAGAGCACGTAGGAGGCGGTGTCTCCATTGGCGACTTGAACCTGACCCTTTTCTCAGGAGCACCTGGGGCAATTGGCTCAACCTTCTTCTGCTTCTGCTTGAGCGCGCTTTTGCGAACCTCCTTCACACCAGCTTCTTTGACCTTCTTTCGCTCTTCCTTCTTTCGTTCTTCCTTCTTACTCTCCTTCTTGGATTCCTTCTTCTTTTCTTTTGGCTCACACTTTGCCTTCTTTTCTTTGCCCTCTTTCTTCACCTTCTCAGCTGGTCGCTTCAAGCCCGACGCTTTTGCTTTTGGTTCCTTTGATTTGCTGGCGAGCTTCACGGCTTTCTCTTTCTCTTTGTCTTTCTTGTTTTTGCTTTGCTTGGCAAGCTTCTTTGCATCAGCCAAGGGTTTGGCCATCGTATCAGGTACACGGGTATGGTGGCGTACCAAAAAGATAACAGACAGCTGAGCAAAATCTGCTGATAACATGGATGGGAAATACATACCGTGGCTGATCCTTTATGTCGTGGCTGATTTCTCACATCGTGGCTGACCCATCAACAAACTCAAAGACCAGTCGACAGAATAGAGAATGAGGGAGGGAAGGTTCAGAATTATTTCTCTTCTCAAACTAGTCATATTTCATGGGATCTACCACTCGCGGCTTTTCTACACATACCGCGGCTTTTTCTCAACATACCGCGGCTGACTCAAAACGCATTTCAGTTTGTTTTGCGCAAAAAGTCTTGAGCATAAGTGGATCTGGCCTTTCAACACGTGCTTCAGGACGAATCTTCCCATTGGTCACCTGGCCAAGCGGTGGATGGCGAGGAAGGCAATTCTTGGGGAGGGATTGGAGAGGGGTTTGATGGAAGCTGCTTGCGGTGGCTGGGACAGATCTCAATCAGACCACTTCGGGATAAAAACAGGGTTCGGAGATCGACGATTGAAAGCTTTTCAACTTCTATGCGCACAAGTTCAATCTTCCGCACGGCATTGTAGAACCTCTTCAACCCACAACGTCGTACGAATTCACGGCTTGATTTCACTATGTGATCATGCCAGGAAATCAAAAATTTGATCTAATTTGGCATGCTTAGACCACCTTGCATCTGCCCGGGTATTTCGGCGGATAGTGCGGTAGGTCATCAAGTTTCTCTTCAAAGCGACTCTTGCTTCACAACGGATCCTTGCAGCATGACGATTCCGGACCGCTGACAGGGCCTTTCCAAACCTTGGCGATGGCACGGCGGCGGTGTCGCGTGCGCCCAAGCTCATGATCATGAATATTGTTACAGTTACGAGAGATTCGCCTGTTGACATGTGAACAAATCACTTTGCAGATAGCTCACTTTGCAAAGCTGTCTGGAGTAAACTTATAGTTCCTTCACACCGAAAGACATCAAGTGTCACATCCAAGAAGCCCCAAAGGGTAGGCTTGTGAGGCTTTTAGATGGCGACCGCCCTTCACTCTCGTGACGCCTCGCCCATCCTGATACACCACAGCCATCTCCACCGCCTCCCGCGGTGGCAGCCACCGAGGCCTGAAGTCATCAACGTCTTCCACAATGTCGTGGCCTCATGCGCAAACGGTGCAAAGAGTGTTTTCCACCGGCTTTTGATGGGCCACTATCACAAAATATCGCAAAGAAAGTCTTGTTGAGTTTTACCATCCATGAAACTGGAATAGAGCCATGTAGGTTTCTCACTGTTTGCACCGTATTGGCCCATCCGTATGGTGTGTTTCCATACAGCGATCTTCCCCATCAACTCCTGAAACAGTGGGTGAAGCTCCATCACTGACCCCTTCGGTTGCACCACGACCCACATACAACCAAGGGCATGAGCGATCATCAGGATGACCAAAGTACGGCTCAATAGAAGGTTGCCAAGAGCGACACTAGGGTAGGATTCCTCCCCCAATGGCCGCGTCGCTGACCTCTTGGTTGTTCCTCTTGACCTTGGACTGGAGGCCCCACCAACTGGTTGATTGACCCTGGCCCCAAAAATTTAATCACCCCGAAGAGGACTGTCTATAACGTCACTGAACCAGTTGAAGTGGGAAGACAGGACAGATTGCTAAACATTCGAGATGGCAAAAAAACGAAGCTGCTGCAAACAGGTGCAGCAAGCCATCCAGAACCCGGCTTGAGCCGGCATGTGTGGTAGAGCGCTGCGAGGAATCCCTCATTCGTAGTTAAATCCATTGTGGGGCCGCCAATTTCCAAGTCCATGGCGATTGCAGCTCGTCCCTCCTTTGGGGTTGAAGACTGCAATGGGCAACCCCATATTTTTGCAAAAAGGAGGGGTTGCTTGTGTGTCTTCTGAACCTCTCGCGTGGCGTTTTTTGTTTAAACCCGTCAATGGGAAAACCATCTTCAATGCGTTTGCCCAGATGTGCACATGTGATTTCCCCAACCTGCATCTCCGCTCGCGTCACCGCACACTGCCCCGCAAAAAGCTCCACATGTTGGAGTTCGTGGCTCTTGTTGATCTCCAGGTCTGGAAGCCCGAAGACCATGTTCACCAGCACGGCAACGATCTCAGCAAGAGTTCAGGCGGCATGCGCGCGCATATATAATGAAACTTTCGGGGTGGTTCGCTTGACATGGCCCCACACTTTGTCAATGTCCCCATGAAAATCTGGCCCCGCCAAGCCCCTGTCGATTGTGGCGTTGATCATGCGGAGGGGCCAAAGCAGAAAAGAGGACTTGGGAGCAGACCCTTTTGATGTTCGGAAGATGTGGATCATCCCCCACACATGTTTCCAATCCAATCAAGGGTCCGCTGGAGCCCGCATCATGCGAAGGCCAGCCACGATGGACCTCCTCTTCACCTCACGATAGGTCCTTTGATCAGCTTCAGGCACGGATGGGGTCTGCAATCTCGAGCACTTGAAGACATGTCTTTTGTCCGGAAGAGTGCCCTTGCCCATGTTGAACAGTCGAGTCGAGCACAGTTCTCGAAACAGGGGCTTCCAAAAAGGCTTGAGCTTAGAGCAAATAGTAAATAGAATGTCTGCTCTTTGGCGAAGCAAACGTGTGGTTGAAGTACCGTTTAAGATCGTTTAGGACTATTGAAAACCAAAGAAGGCCGATGTAGTTGAAGCTTTCCATTTGTCACGGGTGTGTTCGCTGACGTATCCTATGGTTCCATAGCATACCTTGAAAGAGATGCTTTGCATCCACCAAAACCCTCAACAGGCAGCATTGGCTTCAATGCTGCGATCCCCTTTAGCCCCACAGGCATCAAACAGATGGGTTCAATGCGCGGTCTGTGTCTAAATACAAGCACTAAACACCCGTGAAGGTCCAAAAACTTCTTCGAATCTACAGAGCAACATGGGCATCCCTATGGGACGACACCAGCCCGCGTGCACGCAGTGATCCACGCGTTGTGTGGGCCATCAAATTTAGACCAAGTGATTTGCCCCTTGTTGGGGCCACGTACGTAGTACGCACACTTGTTGAGGAGCACTTCAATCTTGGCTGCACCTTTCACCACGGTGTACGAATGCTTTCCTTGGTGGCGGCGCGCTGGGTCAGGCCTGGCGTTCACCGGCAAGTGGTCCAAGTTGTAGCCGTTGTATTCCGAGGCCTGCTGGGACACGATGTGGAGACGTTGAAGGGACAATGGAACCCGGGCAATGGCAACCTGTTCTTGGGACACAAACTATCTAAAGCTTTTTTGTATGTACAACCTATGACCTATGACATGAGGTAAAAATTGTGGTATTCCCAGCCTTGTGGGAACCAGGAGGCCCAACGGGACATGGCTTCGAAGCCTTCGCCTTCCTTGCGACGAAAGGATGCTTTTGCCACCTTCTTAACCTTTGGCTTTGAAGACTTGCGCTCCCGCTTCTCACGCTGCACCTCACTCCATGACTTTACACACACCCCGAAGCTCGACCAACAAAAGTAAGTAGCTATAGGCTCACAATTCTAAGACATGTTTAAAATATCATCAGGGCACTTGTTGACCAACCACAGGGGGGATTGCTCCCAGAAAGCCCAAGCTCAGTCTCACCCATCCAGGTTGGCTTGTCAATGACAGGCAGCTTGACAGAATCTAAACATAGTTGTGAAAGGCGAGTTGGTTTGTCATCACTCTCAAGCCCCACCATGCCCATATAGCGCAAGAAGTTTGCATGTTCATTATTGCCCTTGGTTTTTGATCAAGTGGGTACAAAATGAAAACTTATGGAGAAACACATTTGTAAGCCCTGCCAAGATACTTCAACTGGTTTCTCCTCTGGCTTGGACTTCTTCGCAGTACTGCCATTCTCATACATAGCGGGCCGCTTGCGGTTGGCTTCCGGTGTCTGAAAGCAAGCTGGACAATTCAGGAGATTGCACCGGCTGCCCATCCCCCAACGCGCACAATCAGCACTGCGCGGACCCCATGCAGGGGGTCCAGAAGAGCCATCGCTGCCAGCAGCAGCGGCACCACCATCCTCAGCACCAGGAGACGAACTCTCCTCTGTCACCTCCTCATCTCCTGACTCAGCCTCCGAAGCACTTGTGTCATCAGCAGCTTCTGCAGGTTCTGGAGCTGGATGCTTGTCAGCCTCACTGTCAGCCTCGCTCTCAGCCTCGCTATCAGCCTCATTGTCAGACTCAACGTCAGACAAGGCTGCCACACCTTGACCCAAGACAAGACTAGTTGCATCATCATCGCCCGCTTCATCACTTTCGCCCGATGAATCCTCCTCAGCCGGTTCATCTACATTGGGATCAGCTGGATCATCACGCATAGCCTCATCAGGCTGCACCCCCAAACAAACTTTCCAATGTTACACAAATTTCATGAGACCTCTAAACATGAAAGACAATTAATTTTGGGCCCCATTCAAGCCTCCTCAACATCGGCATCCTGTAGCGGTTCAGCTCTGCGTAGTTGGCCGGCTTCGCGGCGAGCCTCATCTTCTTATGTTCGTTTGATTCAGTGAACTTGTCTATTTTCTAGGGCGATTGAACCACCTTTGGCTCACAGCTGATAGTACACAAAAAAGAAAAGCTTAAAGCACGACTGCGCAAAGAGACGATCGAAACTGGCGAAAGAGATAGCAAACTTTTGAGCTCTGTGACCTTGCTGTTGTGGCTCTCCGCACCTTACGACTCCGATTCGCACTGAAAGAAAAACGATAGAAAACGCACACATTAAACAAAAGGGCGACGTAAAATGACAGATGCCATCCACAATCAAGGGACTGTTTCGATAGAGATATCTCAAGGCCCCTATGAGCTTCTTGCAGCGAGCTGCCTCTTTGCCTGCCTGCGAAGCCTTTGTCTCGTTATCCTTGCACAGGAGTCTGCCACCGAAGAGCAAGTCTAACCGGAGACAAATGTCTGTTAGCAGCACTGCTCCAGGGACATGGTCAGTAAAGGTTTCAACCAAGGGCTTCAAGAAGACATAGTTTATGGCGATCTCCTCTCAGTGAACACGTGATGCGGTGCACTTGCATGCCATGAGTGTCACTTGCAACAATAAGTCTAGAAGAAAGCTAGCCATGTTTCATCACGAAAGAACACAAAGTCCATTTTTCATCGGGTCACATTTCCCCCCTCCTTGAACGATGGTCTGTGGGCGTCACTTGCAACCTGGACAAGATCCGCACCGGGGAAGGCACCCTGCCGCACGAGCTCCACGGCCCGGTCAGGCATGCATTGAAGCATGCGACGCGCCACTCGATCCTGAGGCGGGCTTGGGAAAACACATGCTTCTAGAGGGGATGAATGCATGCATGGTTCTTGAGTGGGCGGCGGGCTGTAAAATAAAACCTTGCAAGTGTTGCAATCCAGCTTCAACAGATGCCTCATTCCAGGACACTTTGCCAGGGCCTTCAGCCATTGATATTGGAGTGGGTTGTGCCAAAGACTTCACTAATTGATTTGGAACAAAATGATATATCATCCAAAGTAGAATATATGAAAGGACACTTATGGTTATGTTGTCCACTTACAGCCAAGTTCTAAGAATCATTGAAAAAGAAAAAGTGCAGAAAAAAAGCAAAAAAGAGCAAAACCAAAAAGCAGAAAGAAAAACTGTCTGGATAAGAAGTGCAGAAACAAAGCAGAAAAAAAGCAAACAAAAGTGCAAAAAAAGCAAACAAAAAAGGGAAAAAAAAGCAAACAAAAAAGGGGAAAAAAACAAACAAAAAAAACAAACAAAAAAGCAATGTTTCACCCACTTTTCCACCACTTTTTTTGTGGCTCTGGAATTTGTTCTCCCACTTTTTCCCCACTTTTTTGTGGCTCTGGAAATGCCAAAACTTTGCACTTTCCTCGAAAAAAAGCAAAAAAAGTGCGAAAAAAAGCGCAAAAAAGTGCAAAAAAAAGTGCAAAAACAGTGCAAAAAAGTGCAAAAAAGAAGCGTGCCCAATTTGCCTCCAAAAAAAATGCTCTTTTTTGCGTTTTTGTTTGCTTTTTTTTGCTCTTTTTTTTGCTCTTTTTTTGCTTTTCTTGAACGTTGCTATTTTGTGTTTGCTTTTCATGCACGCACTTTTTCTGCACTTTTTTTTGCACTTTTTTTGTTTCCCATACTCCCATAGAAGTTGGCTAACTGGCCAACATAAACTTATGGAATCAAAGTGGCGCACAGACTTCCAATTGCCATTCTCCCTGCCCATTGCACGGTCAAACTCTACCATCGCCATGGCTTTGCACACGGTTCGTAAGAAGTGACTGCGAGCACTCGCATGGCAGAGCCGAATCTCGGATAAAATCTAGAACAGGTTATGATTGTGAGAAGTGGTGTCTATTGCTATTTGGGGGTCAGCGCCATCATTTTGACATGCTCCCCTCCTGTCCAACTCACAAAACTTCACAACAAATTGGACGCTACTGTTTGCCCCACTTCAATGACACGAGTGCGCCCTCTGGCGTTGCAGCGCGCAACCGCCGTCAAACGCGATTCGGGCCATGAGTCGGACGCGAAAAAGAAGCGATGCATCGACCGAACGCACCGACACGATCCAAACAACTCACCCAAATCTTCCACAGAACTTGATGCTTGGACACGTTGGCGGGTTTGTCAGCTCATGGGTAGTGGACTACCTCTTCCAAAATGAAACTTTCTAAACAACGAACAGTACGCATGCGCAGTGACCACTGCAGCACCAGCCCCTCCAGGGTTCATGCACTACCCTAAACAACTATTATATATCGTGCGTGTGTGTGTGTGTTGTTTTTCTTTTTTAAACAGGATAGTGTGGAACAACCTGTGTTCTGTGTTTTGGAAGTTCGTGTCCGCGCACAGTTTTGTGTTTTGTTTTTTTAAGCGACGTCACAGCGCTTTGAACACACCGATTGTTCATTGCGGTGAACACATCTTGCACTTAGCTTGCAAAAGCTTGCCTTTAGACCAGCTCAACCCTACGGAAGCATTTGCAACACACGGAAGCAGGAAGCATAAAGCTATGAAGGTTCAAAACGCTGTCCAAAGGACAGCTTTGGAGCCTTACGGTATGTTGTCGATCGTGCTTTCGGGCCGGGCCGTGGCAGGAAAAACCGGTACACTCGT